CTATTTTCCCCCCTTTGATAATGGGACTTGAACCCAGGGCTTCATGCATGCTTTTTTATTTTTTGATTATTTTTTAGTTGTAGTTGGACACAATACCTTTATTTATTTATTTTTATGTGATACTGAGGAAGGAACCCAAGGCCTCGGGTGCTAGACCAGCACTCTACCGCTGAGCCACAACCCTAGCCCCCTTGTTTTTATTTTTGAGGCAGGGTTTTGCTAAATTGTCAGAGTTTATCTCAAACTTAATCCTCCTGCCTCAGCCTCCTGAAGAGCTGGGATTATAGGTGTGTGTCATCACAATCCTGCTAAGTGTAACATTTTTTAGTGTACCTTATAATATCTTGTAAGGTACTAGAAATAGTAGTTCTACATAAGACAGCTTTGATTGTTAATTGTATTTTATCACATTTAAGATGTTGTTTTCCTGTAACCAAGGGGGGAAAAACCCACTGACAATATTAGAATGAATTATAGCTTCAAAGACATTAAATGTGACAAAAACAATTTAGGGTGGACTGTAGTAGTTCCTTATATCCAATATAGGAGCCTTTGAGTGTTTGGATGATGTTTGCATTCTCTGTTACCTTCTGACCAATAGGAAACTTTAAATACCAATAATCATGCCACTACTGTCCGTGTAGCAGGTACTACTAGTTAGAACCTGGAATTTTTCCTCTCAGAACTCAGATTTGGCCTTAGACTCCTCCATATGAAATAGCTCCAACTCTGTAATTGGCTGACATGCACTGATTGCACCTACCCAGGTTAAAACCTTCATCTTTTTTTTTTTTTTTTTGAGGCGGGGAGGCTCCTCAAGGGCCCTAACTCTAACCCTAACTCAACCACTGAGCCACATCCCTAGTCCTATTTTGTATTTATTTGAGACAGGGTCTCACTGAGTTGCTTAGCGCCTTGCCAAATTGCTGAGGCTGGCTTTGAACTCAGGATCCTCCTGCCTCCACCTCTGGGATTACAGGTGTACCCCACCACACTGGGCCTCCAAGACCCTCATCTTTCAAATGTTGGCTTAGATCTGTTCGCTTCTGAAAGATGATCACATGTTCTTTCATTTAATCATCTGCTTGTTGAATTTCTTCTCCTTTTCCTCCCCTTCCCCCCCTCCTCCCTCCCCCCCTTCTTCCTCCCTCCTCCTCCCTCTTCCTCTTCTTCTTCTAAAGCACTTTACCAACTGAGCTATATCCCCAGCCCAAATTTGTTTTTTCTTTCTTATTGCAGGTGTGTCTTTCTGTCTTGAAAGCTGACCCAGCCCTGTTACCTGTTGTCATTTCCCTTCAAACCAAGTTCCTATTTCCCAGAGCCTCGTTTCAGAGTGGGCACTAGTCCAGCAGGTCCTGTTCGGCATATCTTGGGATGACCTTCTTTTTGATTCTCAAGCTAAGGAATGATATTATCTTGGCATGCTTAGCAATTACTCAGGTTTCAATAAAATATTTGAATCCTTCCTATCTATTTAAAAAAATGGAAGAAACTGTTTTTTTTTCCCCATAGAATAGGGTGATAGACACAAGAGCCTCCAAGGACCTGACCAAAATCATTTTGACAAGTGTATGATGTAGGTATAAATAGGAAGCAGTTTGCCAGTTTGTTAAGAGGTGGTATGTGCTCAGTCAGACCCTGACTTGGACATTGTCTTTCACCCTGGCAATAATGTTGATTCCAGCCTCCAGCTTTGGCCATTCCTGAATTAGTTGAATACGATCCCACCTCTTTACATCTGGGTCCTTCTAATTGCAGCTTTCTTCCTCCCCTTGTCCCCTAGCTCATGCTGAGGGGATGCTTCTTGCAGTTAGCATCTCTGTCTGCCCTAGCAGTTCTCCCACACCTATTCAACCATTTCCCTGTGTTACTGTTTAAAAGTCCAGTGAGATTTCTATCCCACCCATCGAATCCTCACCAACAGTCTGACGTGTTCAAAATGTATTGGTCCCATCCTGGCTTCTGTGGCTTGTATGCGTATGTTCATTTTCTTGGTCATTCTAAGTCATTTGCATGGATCTTTGTTGTTGTTGGCTTCTTGTATTAGTTTCTTAGGGTAGTTTGGATGACTTGAAAATATTAGGAATTTATTTACTGGCATGCTATGGAGGCCTGAAGTCTCAAATCCAGGAGTCAGCCATTCTGTGCACTTTTTTGACTCTTGGAGGAAGACTCCTTCCTGTTCTTTCCCCTGGTTTCTGGTAATTGCCAGCAGTTTTTGGTTCGTATCTATATCGCTTTAAATTTCTGTGGTTTGCCTGCCCTTTTTTCGCCTGTGTGTCTGTGTTATCACATGGCTGTCTGTGAACACCAGTTTTGGATTCAGGACTCACCCTAATATAGCATAAACTTACCTTTCTTTCCTTCCTTTCCTTTCCCCTCCTTCCTCCCCTTCCTCTCCCTCCTCCCCTTCCTCTTCCTTCCTTCTCCTCCCTCCTCCTTTCTCCCCCCTCCTCCTTCTTCTCCCCTTCTTATTTTTCTTTTTTCCTCCTCCCTCTCCCACCTCCTTCTTCATAAGCTTAACTTTCTCTCCCTTCCCACTCTTTCCTTTGGTTTGAACCCAGGGTCTCACACATGCTAGGCAAGTGCTCTACCATTGAGCTGTACTCCCCCAACCCCCTTATACAATTTGTATTTTGAGATGGGGGCCCCCCAACCCCCTTATACAATTTGTATTTTGAGATGGGGGTCTCCCTATGTTGCACAGACTGGCCTTCAACTTGCAGTCCTCCCTGCCTCAGACTCCTGAGTAGATGGAATTATAGACTGGTGCCACCATGCCCAGCTCATAAACTTTATCCAAAGAGGGTTACATTCTGAGGCTTCAGATATACCTGTTATTTTGAGAGGACAATATTTAATCCAGTTCAGCCACTTGAAGTTTGGTAAACATGCTTATGGCCAGACATAAGCAGATAGAAAATTTATAGATTTGTCCTATAATCTACAATGTTTAACTTGCACCAAATTGACTTTAGTGCTGTAGACTATGTATTTATTAGTCCCCACTTTGTTTGACATGCCACAGCACTTGGGACAGGGCTGTAAAGATAGTGCAGAAACACTGTGAACAGGTGTGGTACACCCTAGCTTCCCCCCAAAAGTGGCATCTGAGCTTGGCTTTGAAACTGAAGGTGAGAAGACATCACAGGCTGTGAACCATCCATATCTGCTCAGTGCCAGATGTGACCATCTCAGTGGATTCTTAAGCCTTGTAAGGATTGTGGGGAGAGGGGGATAGAGGAGGGTAGGTAGTTAATTATTTGAAACTAGGGTGTTTTGGGCATTTGTACTATGAGTGTTGCTTGCATAATAGGAATGTGTCAACCGTTATCTGGACCAAGAGGATTAAATGTGGCAAGTAGAGGCTCCAGCAATACCTGGTGGAACATGTCAAAGTTATTGGGCTGGAGAAATATTAATAAGAATAAGGTCAGGCTGGGGGTGTGGCTCAGTGAAGGAGTTCTTGCCTGGTATGCATGAGATCCTGGGTTTGAGTCCTAGTACCATAGAATAAAAAATCCAGGTCATGTATTATATGATTCTATTTGTACAAAATCTCCCGAACAGACAAATCTGCAGAGAGCAGATTAGTGGTCTCCATGGGAGAAAGGAAAACTGGTGGGTGCCTGCCTCATAGATTTAGAGTTTTAGTTTTAAGTGTTGGCAATATTCTGGATCTAGATAGTTATATGGTTGGAAAACACTCAATGTCATTAAAACAGTAGCTTTTCTGATGTGTAATTTTTTTTTTTTTTTTGGGTGGGAATGGGGATCAAACCCAGGGCCTTGTACATGCAAAGTCTAGTATGTGATCCAACTTCATTTATGATACAAGCTGTGGAGACAAATGGTTGAACTTGAGTTCCAGGCATTTATTAGTTGAGAATTATTAGCAACCACAGTGTTTTACTCCATGACAGGTGCTGGGTTTAGCCTGTTAACCTATTGCCTTGGATCTCCCTCCCATTTACCCTTTCCAAGGTTGGAGAGGACTGGGAACGTGCCCCCGTCCTTAGAGCTGGTAGGAACTTGGATTTGACCCTGGGTTAAGCTGACCTGACTCACCTGCCTGATTTGCGCAGGGCTGTCCCAAGTTTTAGCAATAGCAATGGCATATTCTTGACTACCCCCAGTCTATACCTTTCTTATTCTTCAGCCCAGGTCAACCCCCAAAACCTTTTGCCTCCAGGGTCCCCTTATTAGATCACCTACTCTAAAACTTGTTGCTCTATTAGCAGTCAGGTTGGAATCCCTGATTTAATGCCACAGTACCTCAAAGAAATCCTTGTGGCTTTTGAAGACTCATCATGTAATATTAATGAAAACACAGAGCCTTCTGTCTGGATTAATTTTTTATGAACAATAATATGTCTGATTAAACCTGCCGATTTACTGGGGCTGGTAGTACAGGTTGTGGAGTGTGTGGGAGTGTGTAGACAGTCTCTGACAGCAGGGCACGGCTTCTGAGTTAGAATAGGTGATATTCCCAGTGTGCCCTTGGTGTTGTTTCAGGCCAGGACAAGCCAAGTTGCTGATGACTGGGCAAGACCCTGATGGATTAGCTACTAAACTGTGGTATCTCCTCATGCGAGAGAGCGACCCGGCTTGTAGGATTTTCCCCGGTCGAGGAGCCAGGCCATCAGATCCAAGGAAGTTTCTTGTGTGTCAGGAGTTGTACACGATGTATCTGATCCTCTTTTTCTGGTTTTCGGCAGCCACTCAGCTCCACTGGTTTCACTGTGTCAGCCTCTTAATAGTCTGACGTTCACCGTGTAGGTGCCATTTCTCATACCAAGAAACCCAGCTCTTGCCAGCAGCTCCTTCAGTTACATGTCTAACAAATGCCATTCTCTCCCTGAGTGCCTGCTTTCTCTCCAAGAAAGTGGATCAAGTGGACTGGCTGTTCGCTCTTCAGGTCTGGTAGAAATTAAATGCACGAGGAGTAGAGGTTGTTCTGAGGCCTCAGGGATTTTTCTTTCTTTCTTTTTAATCTCTAGCTGAGCATCGAGCAGGCCCAGACGGTGGCAGAACAGGTGGAGATGAAGGCGAAGGTGGTACAGTCGGAGGTCAAGGCTGTGACTGCAAGGCATAAGAAGGCCCTGGAGGAGCGGGAGTGCGAGCTGCTGTGGAAGGTAACGGGGAGCTCACCACCCCCACGCCCACCTCGGCCCCCCACCAGCCAAAGGAATTGTACAGGAATCCTAGTCCAAGCTCTGGCTTTGGAACATTTGGTCATTTTCCAGAAGGACGAGGGGGGGTGGTCTCTGGAACATTGGGGGTGCTGTGCGTGCAGCCAAACAACAAGCCTTTTCAGATGTACTTGGGTAACCAAGACTGGAAGGAGCCTCGAGTTTTATATCGCACACACTCAAAAGGAGGCAGAAAGAAGGGAGAACAATCAAAACTGTTGTTGGGCAAGGCAGGCTGGTAGGAAACGTTCTTATTTTTGGTGTCCTGGCTGGTTGCACTTCCTGACCCCAGTGGAAAGCCAGTTTTCCACTTGGGAGGGCAGCAAGTGTGCCCTTTCTTCCTGTCCGAGCAGGAAAGAGCGCTGAGTGCACTGGTGGTGTGCTGTTGAGATAAGAATCAGCCGAAAAGACCACTCACCCACCCCTAGTCTGCATCTCAATTTTTGCTTTTCTGATTTTGCATTCCCACCCAGGAAGACGCAGTCTATAAATGGGCTGGTGCCCTATGCCAGTTCTTTTAACTAAATTAATTAATGTTCTCTGAACACAGATGCGACCTCATTGCTGACATAACAGGCCATACTTCTAATGCATTTGTGGGCTTGTTTTCATCTTGGTTGTACGATGGTATGACGGTGGCTCCATTTCTGAAAGTGACCCTTTTAAGTTTCATTGCACTTTCCATTTGGTTAACCTCAAAACTCTCCTGCCCCTTCTGACTTCTTAAAGAGATATGGTTTAATTGCCTCGCAACAAGAAGAGGGTGGGGTGGGGCGGATCAGTCCAAGATTTAATTCAGCACATGTCTTTGAATGCCTTTATGGGTATGACATAGTTTTCAGACACTGAGAAGTCCCCTTGGGTCTGCCAGTCTCATGCCACCCACGAATGTTAATTATAACTGGAGGGGCCCACTTCATGCAACCTGAGAGCTTTGTAGTGAATTCTGCCACAAACTGGCTCTTCTGGATTTCCTGATGAAAAAGGCCTTTGTGTGGGGGGCTTCTTTGGCCCTCACCTTCCCTGGGCTCCCTCCTGTGTGAGGCTGACCGCTGTCTTCTCTCTTAAGGCAGTTCTCTTAAGGGGAAATGAAAATCAAGTCTCTTTAGCATGTTTAGAAGGAAGAGCCAGCCCTTCTTCATAGAGTTGTTTCTACCTGCTCCCATTCTTAAGTGATAATTTTGAAACAAGGTGGCTCAGTCTTGTTTTATAGGTATTTTTTTGCTTTGGATCCTTGCCCCTGATCCTATTAGAGTTCCCCTGTCTTTGACCACTTACTAATTTTTCTGCTCTAGGAGAAGTTTTCTGCCTGTCTCTGTCTGGGTTTCTCTTTGTTGTGTAAGGGTTTGTTTCTTGAACATTAAGATAGAAGAGTGTAAGGATTAAGTCTTAATTTGCCAGTCCACCCAGTTATGTATCTGGACACACCTCTTCATTCTTGCAACTTAACTCTCTAGTGGCCTGGGCTAGCCACCTTATGAGGTTAGCTACAGCTGCATAATTTCATGGGTCAGAATCAAAGGTAGAAGTTTGGTCTATATTAGACCAAAGGACAAAAAATTTCATTTGACCCCACATGGGCCTCTCTGTACACACGTCCTGGTTCCATGGAGAACAGATGGAAAAGCATGAATGGGCCAAAACCACGTCATCACCCCTCAAGGGAAAATCAGATTAAAATCCAGGCCTCAGAAGAGTGGGCTCTTATCTGAAATTGGCTTTCAGTGGAGCACTCAGAAGCGTGGATTTCCTTAAACAGTGAGAGTTTCGCTTCCTTCACAGGGTTAATCACTTAGAATTACAGAACTTTTAAAATGCAAAACAAACAAACAAAAACATTGAGAAATTGTTCTATTTTCATTGTTTAGATAAAATATATTTCTAAATGGTTCGAGAATTTTCAGAAGAAGAAATTATTTTTACAGGTTGGAGTTTACGTTCCTATAGTCTAGCTTTTTAGTTGTAGAGGGCTTCTTTCCAAATGCTTGCTGTCTCTAGATTTGGATGCAGGGCATTTTAGGTCCCCAGCTGTTTCTCAACTCCGTTCTTCAAATACAGAAGTACGGGTGGTAGAGCGTGTGGCTGGTGTGTGGGGGGCCCTGGGTTCAGCCTTCAGTACTCCTCCAAACTCAGGGGCAGAGAGCTTCTGTGTGACTGGGGCTTTTGTCTTGAGTTCCTTCTCTTATCAACCCTCCTTACATTCTCCATGTGACATCTCTCTTCTTGCATGTGTGCAGGCATGGATGAGAGGTGGGGAGAAAGAGATCCCTGGCTCCCAGTGTACTTGCATTCAAATATTCAGTGTTTTGATGGAGACAGATCTTGTGTCCCTCTAGTGCTGCCTCTGCTGTCCTTTCTGCCACTTGGCTCTCCATCTTCACTGCCACCTCGGTTGTCTAAGCTACAGTCATCCCTCACCTGGGTGATAGCTAGTGTCCACTTTCTCATTTTCTCCCTCCGCCCCCAGTCATGCTCCACAAACCCAAACTTTTGCCATACAAATCCATTCACCCCTCTGCTTAAAACTGTTTTTGTTTACTTTCTCTTTCACTCCTTCTTCCTTTCTCTCTCTCCCCATTTTCTTTTCCTCCCTTCCACCCCTTCCTTCCCCAGGTTTGAATCTAAACCCAGGGTGCTTTAGCGCACTGAGCTACATTCCTACCACTTGTTATTTTGAGACGAGATCTCCTTAAATTTCTTACTGAGCCTGATTTCTAGTTTACAATCCTCCTTCCTGCCTCAACCTCTCAGCTGGGATTACAGGAATGCACCACCATGCCCAATTCCTTTATATTTTTTAAATCATCTCTGGCTTACTTTTAATACAAAATATAGTGTAAATAATTGCATTTTTTTATCCCCCTGTATTGGGGATACAGGGCTTGGTGCATGCTAGGAAGTTGCTCTATCATTTAGCTATATAACCCTAGCCCTGTGTAAATAATTCTTACTCTGTATTATTTAGGGTTGACAAGGAAAAAAGTCTGTATGTGTTTAGTAAATATAGAATTTTTCACCAGTATTTTTTTTAATATTAATTACCACTATTTTTTTAAAGAACGAGAAAGGAGAGAGAGAGGTTAAATATTTTTCAATTTTCTTTGGATACAACTTTATTTTATTTTTATGTGGTGCTGAGGATCGAACCCAGTGCCCTAAGCATGCCAGGCGAGCATGTTACTGCTTGAGCCACATCTCCAGCCCCTCCACTAGTATTTTTGATGCACAGTTGCTTAAATTCATGCATGTGATATGATTTTGAGAATAAGTTGAAATATTGGAGAAATGGCCTCTTTACCCCCTAAATACTTGAGTTAGGCCCCACGCCCCGCAAAAAGGTTAATTTTCCTTTTTCTGTGTCATGCCTTCTCCTCACCCCCACCCTTGCTGGTGATTGAATGCAGGGGCAATTAACCACTGAGCCACAACCCCAGCCACATTTTTTTATTGCTTAAATTTTGAGACGGTCACTAAATTGTTGAGGCTGGCTTTGAACTCATGATCCTCCTGCCTTAGCCACTGGGACCTGGCTTTTTTTTTTTTTTTTTTAAATGAACTGGGGTTCAAACCTATGACTTTGTACATGTTAGGCAATTGCTCTACTACTGAGCTACTCTTATTAACTTGGAAGTTAATCTTAATACAGTAACAGTGTCTAAGCCTCAGTCCCTAGTTGCACTTCAGCAGTTATCTCAATAGTGTTCTTTCTTGCTGTTTCTCCCGCACCTCAGGATTCAGTCCAGAATCACTGATTGCATTTAGTTGTCACATCTTAGTAGTCATCTCCTGTAACCTGGAACTGCTTATTAGACTTTTTTGGGGGTGGTGTGTTTTGTTTTAATATTAGTTGTAGATGGACACAGTACCTTTTTCTTTTATTTTTATGTGGTGCTGAGGATGGAACCCAGTGCCTCACATGTGCCAGGCAAGCGTTCTACTACTGAGCTACATAACCCCAGCCCTGGTGGTACTTTTTTTTTTTGGACTGGGGATTGAACTCAGGGACCCTCAACCACTGACCACATCCCCAGGCCTATTTTGATTCTGTTTTATCAAAAGGGTTTGGTGGTTTAAAAAAAAATTTTTTTCCCCCATCTGATTTATTTATTTATTTGGGTCCTCTGCAGCGCTGAAGATTGAACCCAGGTCCTTACATGTGCTAGGTGAGGGCTCTACCACTTCCAACCCCAAGCCAGTTGTCCTTTTTTTTTTTTTTTTTTTGTAGTCATAGATGTACAGAATGCCTTTATTTATTTTTATGTGATGCTAAGGATCAGACCTAGTACCTCACACATTGATAGGAAAGAGCTCTGCTACTCAGCCCCAGCCCGTTGTCTTTTATAGACGGTTCCCAGTGTGTCTCTGATACTGACAATGAAAAAAGTACAGACAACTGGGCTGGGGAGTATAGCTCAGTTAGCTGGTAGAGTGCTTGCCTCGCATGCACAAGATCCTGGGTTCTAATCCCCAGCACCCCCCCCCCCCCCCCCCCCCCCACACACACACACACAAAAGTACAGACACACATACCCCCTCCACCACCACCATTGTATTCTGTCTGCAGTAGCTTAAGTCTATGGATGTGGCCTGTGGATACTGAGGGCTTGATTTTTAAAATCATGTCCTTTCTTTTTACTCTTACGTTTCCTCCAGGTAGAGAAGATCCGCCAGGTGAAAGCCAAGTCTCTGTATCTGCAGGTTGAGAAACTTCGGCAAAACCTCAACAAGCTAGAGAGCACCATCAGTGCCGTTCAGCAGGTCCTGGAGGAGGGTAGGGCACTGGACATCCTCCTGGCCCGAGACCGGATGCTGGCCCAAGTGCAGGAGCTGAAGACCGTGGGGAGCCTCCTGCAGCCTCAGGAAGATGATCGGATCATGTTCACACCCCCTGACCAGGCACTGTACCTTGCCATCAAGTCCTTTGGCTTTGTTAGCAGTGGGGCCTTTGCACCTCTCACAAAGGCCACAGGTGATGGCCTCAAGCGGGCCCTTCAGGGAAAGGTTGCCTCCTTCACTGTCATTGGCTACGACCATGATGGTGAGCCACGCCTTTCGGGAGGTGACCTCATGTCAGCTGTGGTCCTTGGCCCCGATGGCAACCTGTTTGGTGCAGAGGTGAGTGACCAGCAGAACGGGACTTATGTGGTGAGCTACCGGCCCCAGCTAGAGGGCGAGCATCTGGTGTCGGTGACCATGTGCAACCAGCATATTGAGAACAGCCCCTTCAAAGTGGTGGTCAAATCAGGCCGCAGCTACGTGGGCATTGGGCTCCCAGGCCTGAGCTTCGGCAGTGAGGGTGATAGTGATGGCAAGCTCTGTCGCCCTTGGGGTGTCAGTGTGGACAAGGAGGGCTACATTATCGTCGCTGACCGCAGCAATAACCGCATCCAGGTATTCAAGCCCTGTGGCTCATTCCATCACAAATTTGGTACTCTGGGCTCCCGGCCCGGCCAGTTCGACCGACCAGCTGGGGTGGCCTGCGATGCTTCACGCAGAATCGTGGTGGCTGATAAGGACAATCATCGCATCCAGATCTTTACCTTTGAGGGTCAGTTCCTCCTCAAGTTTGGTGAGAAAGGAACCAAAAACGGGCAGTTCAACTACCCTTGGGATGTGGCGGTGAATTCTGAGGGCAAGATCCTAGTCTCAGACACCCGGAACCACCGGATCCAGCTGTTCGGGCCTGATGGCGTCTTCCTGAATAAGTACGGCTTCGAGGGGGCTCTCTGGAAGCACTTTGATTCCCCGCGGGGTGTGGCCTTCAACCACGAGGGCCACTTGGTGGTCACCGACTTCAACAACCACAGGCTCCTGGTCATTCATTCCGACTGCCAGTCGGCACGCTTCCTGGGCTCCGAGGGCACCGGGAATGGGCAGTTCCTGCGTCCGCAAGGTGTGGCTGTGGACCAGGAAGGGCGCATCATCGTGGCCGATTCCAGGAACCACCGGGTACAGATGTTTGAGGCCAACGGCAGCTTCCTGTGCAAGTTTGGCGCTCAAGGCAGTGGCTTTGGGCAGATGGACCGCCCTTCCGGCATCGCAGTCACCCCTGATGGAATGATCGTGGTGGTGGACTTTGGCAACAATCGAATCCTCATCTTCTAAATCGCGTCTTCTAGGTTTCTGTGTTTGGGGTGTGCGTGTTTGTCTCTCTCTTTTTGAATTTCAAAGAAGAAGCAGTCTCAGGGAAATTTCTGTTTTCTTTCTTAAATTTTTTTTTTTTTTTTAAGAGAACAAGAAAAGTACAACATTGCTTAAGTCCTACCTCATCTTTATTTTTTTACAGATGAATGTACTTGTCTTTTGTGCAGGGATTGAGCCTGTGAAGTGATAATTTCTATCTACCTCATAAATCTTTCCATTTCCTTCTCCAGCAGGCCCTCTTCCCTTCCTCAGTGGAGTTCACATTTCCCTTGTCCCCATGTGGGGCGCGATATGCACAAGCCTAGCATCTCTATGGCTGCAAGGGCACTGGATGTGTGTGGCGGGGTGTATTTTGTAGATTGAGCCAAGGAAACCCAAAAACTACTAAGTTAAAAAAAAAAAAAAGCAAAAAATTATAAAGCGTGGGAAAAATAGGATTTAAAATTCATAATTGTAGAGTATTTGTGTTCTTGAGAATGCTGTGTTTAGATTGTGTTGTGTGGTTTGATCTTTTTGTTTTTGGAAATTTTTTTTTTTTTTTTTTTTATTTTAATGCTGCAACAGAGGACTTTCCTCTGTTCTCTTATTACCTCAGTGTGTCTAACATCCCTTCAGCGTCTTTTTTTTTTTTATTCCTGGGAGATGTGGCTGTGGCTTGCTAGCCAAGAAAAGCAGACCTTTAGTACTTTAGGGCACCTGATCTTTTTGTTAGGGAGGGTGTGTGTGCGCACATGTGTGCTCATGGGCGCACACACGTGTATTTTAAGCCATCTTGTACCCAAAATAATAAAGCTGGGAACGACACAGCACATCCCAAGGAACCTTTTTTTTTTTTTTTTTTTTTAACACTTTGGCTTCTTAAAAAAAGTAGGTATAGCTCAGGATTCTTAATGAAAAGTATTCTCAAAAGTTGATTATACTTATTTTATTATTGGTTAGAAAGAGTTCAGTGGAAGGAAGAAGAAAATTATCCTCATTCTCAGAGAGAGGGTTTTCAGGCATGGATTGACATGTGCTGAAGGAGTAGGTAGAGGGCACTGGCCAAGCAAGGCCATCCCAAACCAGGGACTGTTCAGGAGGAGCAGGGTTCTGCCCTGACCCCAGAGTGAATGTTCTGGTATGCTAGGAGTTTCTTTTCCTGAGAAGAGAAGCAAAGGAATAAACTTACTATTAAAGCACAATTTTTTTTTTTTCCTGCTTCGGAAGTTCAGGGAAATAGAATGTTTAACCATCATATTAATTGGAGCAGTCCGTTCCCATACCCTCTGCTCTGGTCATTTTTACAGAATCATTGCACCCGAGTGACGCTATAGGACCTCATGATTAACATGTATTTTTTTTTTTTCTCTCTCAAGGCCTTTGAATGTAAAGGATTAGTAAACCAAATCACCCCAACCCGAAATGTATGCCATGATAAACTTTTCTTAAACCTGTATCTCGGTACCAAAGAATGAAAACTTGTGTAAGCCAGTCCCCCCCTCTTGCAGAACGGGGTGGCGGGGATGGCATCTGTGTCACTTTACAGGATTGGTTTCTTCATTAGCTGGACTTGGGTATAAAACTTTGTGCTTCTAGGCATTTTCTGTCTTCTAAGTGGAAAGCTGGTGAGCTAGTAACACTGCTTGTTAGAACCCAGGGGGGTTCCTCTTTCCCTCAAATAACTGATGTCAGATCCAAATTCTGAAGTAGTGATACTCAGGATAAAGAGGTCCTCTCAGACATCAGTAGCTTATGAGGGAGACCTCATGTTTGAAACAGAAAGACTAATTGATCAGTTTCTTGGTCATGTGTTTAAGAGCTATTGCAAAATGGATGTGGCTTAAATGGAGGGATTTAGTTTTGTCATCCCCAAAGAAAAGATGATGATGGGGATAATGTGACAAGTCAATCAAATTGCTTTTCCCACCCACCTCCTTTCTACTTTATTATTATTTGTTTGTTTGTTTTGTTAAGGTACTGGGAATTGAACCTAGGGGTGCACTACCACTAAGTTATCTCTCTAGCCCTTTTTAAAATTCGAGACGGGGTCTTGCTAAATTGTCCAGCAAGTAGCTGGGATCATAGGCATGCCCAGCTGGATTTTGATTTTTTTCAGTTCAAGCTAGGCTACCTCCTCCCATCACTTTTAATTCTAGGTTTTCTTGAGTGACCAAAATGGTCGGGGGAGTCGGGGGGACTCATCTCACAAAAGAAGAGCTGTATGCAAAAAAAGATCCAAAAATTAGAAAATAACTTCAAATTGTTGTTAGGAAGGTGGTACAAGCCCTCTCTTCTTTTTGATATCTTAATAGTTAATCATTTCCCATTTCTATTCAGTTAACCTTTTGTCTTTCCTGTAAGTTCTGAGAGTTCATGTAACTAAAGACTTTTTTAAAAAATTTGCATTAATTTTATATTTGTAACTAAAGACTTTTACAGTAGCTTGGAGGTGATTGTCCTTCCTCCCCCAACTGCCTACCCAAAACAACTGGTTTTAAATGCCTTAAAAAAAAAAATACAACTTTTTTTAATTGAAGAAATGGATCTTGATAAAAATGTTTTCCAAAAATCTAGGTCATATTTGTGGTTGGGAAAAGTTATTTCAGTTGGTCACACCACTTTTTGAATTTTTTATTCCATCTTCATTTACTCTTTTTCTCCTCTGCTTCTCTATTATGTGGGGAGATATCGGAATCCTGAATGAGAAATTTTCTTGGTGAAGAACAGTAGATAAAAAAGACTTGTCTAACATTTTACAGTGGATTTTGTTGGTGAATCCCGGTTTTCCTTTCCGTGGCTGAAATAATCAGGTTAATAGATGGACCACTTTGCAGACTTAGAGCACCCAGGTAGGGTCACTCCCTGAAGCGGTCTTGTCGGTGGCCTCAGTGGTGGAATGGCTCTTTACCTTTCTGCACCTGAAGTGGGGCATGAGTGGCATCTGAGAAACATGGTCACGTTTGGGAAGCTTTTGTTTTAAAAAACAATCTGCCATTTGTGGCTGCCTGAAATAGACTCCTGACCCATAGGGATTGGTGCTAAGCACTTTGGAGAGTGTTTATTGTATTATATGGAATGTTCCAGATCAAAGAAAGATGATTTAAAAAGCCAACGCGTTATACTCCCTGGCGTGAGGCTGTCTAAAGCACATGTTTCCAAATGCTTGTCTCCTGCCCCAGAAGAGGTAATACCAGGGTAAGTAGGAATTGGGTCAAAGATGAGAGAGTCTTCAATGTGGTGAAAAAGACTAGGTCCTGGGTGCCCTGAGGCAGAATAAAATGTCTCTAGGGAGTAAGTGATAATTACACAGTTGTCCCTATGTAGGTCTGATGTGGTTAGTGGGGAGGTGGCAGGACTTAAGGTCAGTCTGTATTCGGAGTGCCCATTGGAATTGCATATATAGGTTTGAGTATTGAGGTGTCTGAAGGCAATCAAACCTATAGGTAAAAATGCTTTGACACCAACTTAACATTTCAAAATTTAGTCCTTTTTAATAAAAAGAATCATTTCTCTATTTTAACTTGATCACAAGAAAATCCTATCTCAGAACCTGTGCTTAATTGTGGCTGACAGGTGATGCCCCAGTTGACTGGAGCCCAGTGGCCCAGGCTGTACCCCAGGTGCACTAACCCCTCAATCAATGCCCTTTAAGTCTAACTTATTTGGGGAAACATGCAAGGGTACCATAATCAGAATCAAAATAATATTTTGGGCCAAAGAAGTTGCCAGGATCAAGGCACTTTGTGATGGAGTGGAAAGAGAACAGCTTGAGATTGGCTCAGTGTGTTTTACTCTGATTAAGCCAAAGCTTAATTATTGGAAGAGGGAAGTCTTTTAGGCTAGAAGCAGCAGAATATTCTTTGTTTATGTGTTGTCTTCCTGTTTGGAAGATTCTCAGATTCTGTGTTCTGGTAGATAGTGAAAGATATGCCAAAGTTTTAGGCTTGTTTTTCTGTTGTTTAAAAAAGGAAAAATTAAAAAAATAAAAAATAAAACAAAAAACAAAACCAGTGGTGCCAAAAAAGTATTTAGGGTATTTATTTAGAACATCGCTCTTACTGAGTTTCCAACAGTCTGGGGCTGTATAAAAGTCAAACTCGTGTACTTGCGCAAGATGGTTGCATAGAGCTGCTCCTTCCAAGGCCTTGAGGCTTTCTCTGGCTTCCTAACTCCTTTCATTTAGTTTCTACCTCACTTTTGGCAAAAGTCATCTACCTCATGTTAGCATATGATGGTTCTGGAAAGAAGAGTATTATTAATCCAGTGGGGAGTGGGTGGAAGTGGGAAGCTACCTACCTCTGTAAGAAATGTTTTCATAAATCTAGACCTGGTTTCTTCAGGAGAAACGCCAGATTGACCTTTAAAAGAAAGAGACTTCAGGTAAATGCAGTCATAAACCCAAGTAGTTCTCACCAATCAGACTTTCCCCCCTCTGAAAAAGAACTATATATATATATATGCCTTTACCATGTTGTTCAGTATTATGAAACTACTGGTTAATCTGATCTATTGGAGGATGTAGGAGGAATTAGAAATAAAGACCTTAGGTCTCTTTTTCTCTTCAAGAGAAAAAATGTTTTATCTCTGTATTCCAATGTCTGCAGATATACCCTTTTAGGGGGAAATTTGAAGTCTAGTTGAAAACATCACACATTTGAAGGGAATGAGAATCCTTTTGACTTCATGATTGTAACTGTAGCTTTCTGAACCCAGCAGGATGTCCATGGCCATGACCTCTCAGCAATCACTGTTGCTTTTGAGCAGTGACAGGCGAAGTGTGTGTTGCCCTTTTGTTTTGTGTTTTAATTTTTTTTTTCTACCAAAGGTAAACATGTGGACGGGTCCCCCCCTCCCCCTTTACTTGTTTGTTAAATACTTGATAAATTTGAGAAGCACATTATCAGGATATACTGTATTGACCTTCTGCCCCTCCTCTTCCCTGTTTGATTTTTTTGGTTCAGTGGGAAGAGAGGGTCCTGACA